AATCTTCAGCTTCCATTTTAGAAAAACCCAGTAAAATAATGATCACAGGAGGCAGAGGAAGGAGGTGGAGAAAAAGCTTTGAAAACCAGAGTGGAAAATGGAAGAGGAACACTGCTTTGAGCTAAGAATCCCTGTATTTTCTACAAAACAGTTTTCAATCTTTCTATTGGAACCAAACCAAACTGAAATGTTTATTTCAGATCCCTACTGACTGCAGTTCCCAAAAGCGCATCCATGGTGCAACCTTTAAGGTCCACTTGCAATCCGCATTTTCCCTGTGAAGAGCTCCATGGAGTTTTACAGTGTCACATACCGAGACCTTCATACATTTGACCCACTGAAAGACGAGGCTAACGTTTGAAAGACTGCCTAGTACTCTGCTGTCCTGGATGCCTGTGGCTAAGAGTAATCTGCAATAGCTGCAAAATGTGACAAATGCATTTAAAAAAAAAAAAACAAACCACAAAAAAACCCACCAAACTAAAAAGCAAAGAAGAAGTACCTCTTCAGGTATGCTCACCCCAATAAAAAAAACGTTCTTACACTGCCACCTCGTGGTTGTCTCTTCTAAGTACCATTTAATTTACATTAAGAGGTTCCTGCAGCAAATTCTGAACAAGAACTAAACAGTAGTATTTATTTTATATATTTTAAAGGCTCATATGTAGTACACTGTTTTTAATAGATTACTGTACAACTCATAAGGGAAGACAGTCTTACTACTAGAAGCATTTCAGTAAAAGCTAATTAGCCTTTATCATTTTTTTACTTTGGGAATTTAAATGAGCCAATCACATGCTCTGGATGGCATTTTTTTCTTCAGAAAACCCTACCATGAGAGCAGAAGAAATTCACAACTCATTTAGATTAAAATAAAAACAGTCTGACATTTTACTTTAACTAGAAACCCATACATAAGTTGGAAAAAAGTCCAATGACATTTACTTTACCATAATTATGTCAAAAAGACTTCTGAAATTTAAAGAAGTTGAAAAATTATTTTTGTATTTTTTTTAATCTGATACAGGACTGAATTGCCACCATCTTTTGCACTGTAATTCATGCCCACCTTTAAATTGTCAGGAAATACTGATTTCTGTTAGAGATAATAATCACAAACATTTACTTACTTATACAGGACAGGTCTATCTTGTAAGGCTTCCATGGCCTGAGCAAGAACTGGAGAAATGTCACATGATTCTTGTGTCAAAGTCCTGCATTCATCTATAAAATATCAACATGGATAAAAGCGCATTCTTTACACTGTAATATTATTTTATAACAAGCTGTCAAAAAAAATGAGTTAAAAACTCAAAGGTTTTGGATTTTGCATTGAAGCCTTCAGAATATCCTACCTGGCCTAGTTCGTGTTAATGCAACTAAATTCCCCCATAAGCAGGACTTCACTGTAAAATGGATATCCACCAGAAATTACAAGAAAAGTTAAAGGAAGCTTAGTATCTGTTTGCACCCATGTACAACTGTTAAATCATTCAACCATCAGGATTCTGTCAGGCTCCTTTAAAACAGTTTACCATATTCCAGGTTAACTATTAAGAAAAATTGAGCAAGTAGTAAAGCAAGCTGTGGGTTTATTTTATTGTTTGGGGGTTTTTTTGCTGTTGTTATTTTTTTTTTTTTCCACTTTGATCACATTAACTATATCATCTTGTATATTCCATTCAAGAATGTGGAAATCATATGAACTAAATCAAACATCAGCATAAAAATTATGAATTTTCATTAGGGTGAAACCACAACCACTATCTGGGGTTTCAGCAAACAAATATAACGTCACATTGCATCAGCTTTTTTTCACAAATCTTCCTGTCAGTGTCTTAGGAGAAGAGAGAAGTAATAAAAAAGCATCTACATTTTACACTATCAAGATGTTACATCGAACACTGACACTCGGATCCAGAGTACATATGCAAAAATAATCATCATCTACTATCAGTAAAAAGAGCATTCTGATACAGTAAGGTTGATTTTTTTCTTCTTTTTTTAAAGGTAATAAGCCACTCCCCCACTAAATTAGATCTTGCTACTGAATTGTCAAAAACAACAACTCCCCTGTAACCTGCAAGAAAATTAAATGCAATATACTTAACAATTTGCTTAGACTACCAAACTATAGTTGCTGTTCTCTGTGGAAAATAATCTAAAAATACAAATAAATAAGACACTTTTACAAATAGAGATGAGGTTAGCCCAAAAAAAGGAATCTCCAATTAACTACTTGGTTCACAGCAAATCTTTCACTAAGAAGGAAACCCAAAGCCATGTTAATTAATCTCGGCAAGTGTTTTTGCTGAGTTCAATCCACATCAAGGAATTAAAGGAATCATCATAATAATATTCATAAACATTCTTAATCTTACTTTGAGTCCATCTGTAAAGTCGTTCATAAGATGTCTCTTGCAGCAAAGCCATCTGTTCCATAATTTCCAAACTACAAGACAAAAAAATTCTATTTGCAAATACTATTTTAGGTAGTACTACCAAAGACATGTAACAAATCAAATAAAACACACCATTATTAAAACTAAGAAAATTTTAAAGCATGTTACTATTTGGTTTTTTGTTAAATACTCTGTATAGTCATATCAAGTAAAGAATGAGACCTTGCTGTAACTTCTGCTTTTAACTAGTAATTGGTTATTTACTTTATTTATTTAAATAGAGTTCAAGTAGCACTCACCCTGCCCTTTGCTGATTTGTCCGGAGGAGAATCTTGACATCATCATGAATTTGCTTTACTCTTCCCAAAGCCTTGAAAAAATCCTAAATCAATTAAAAAAAAAAAAACAAACCAAACCATGTTTAAATGCAGTAACTTCTCATTCAAATCTGTAGCATTCTACACTCCCCATTTCAATTCCATATTGATGTTCCTTGCAGGTCTGTGTTCCAAGCGCTGCTTTTAAAATACAAGCCCCCCCTCCACGACATCTCACCTCTCATTCCACCTTAAGAGCCTTAGGATTTTTTTCTTTCCCATTGCATCATGCCTTTCTCCCACAAAAAAACAAACAAACCCCAAAAAATAAAAAACAGCATAAAAGATGATGGTTTTGTTTGTCTTTTATGTAGTACGTGTGTGTTTTACATTTATTACTTAATACACTGGGGAGATTTTGAGGACATTACTACTTTTGAGGACATTCCATCATCTTCTCCCCATTAATATTAGCAACTAAAGAGCGAATTGAAACATTATAAAGTATAATGATTACAAGTTGATATTTTTTGTGTTCATATAATGGGGTAACAATTTCTAAGAAAAATCAAACATTTGCAATAGACTAGACCAAGGTTTTCCAGGACAGTCTTTTCCCCTTGAATGTCTCGCAGCAACAATGAAGAAAAAAAACCCTACAGGACAGGGTGAGATGACCAATACTTGTATTTTGGTACTGTTTCAGAGAGCAAATAGAAATCCACTAACATTTTCAAACGTCTTATTATGAAGTCACCTTTCAAAGATCATGGAGGAGACTCGCTAATTCAGACATAACTCTTCGTTACATCTTTTGTGACCTGAACAAAGTCTGTCTCAGGAAAGTAGAGTTTCACTCTGGCTCAAGTCATGTAAAAAATACACATATTTTAATTAAAGTAGGACACTGATTTAACATACTGTCTTGCATCAGCTGTGTTGAAGATCACGTTTATAGAAAACCAAATCACTCCTCCTTCAGGAAGAAAAAAAATTATTTAAAATCTGCCAAGGCAGAAGCCTGACTAAAAATGTTTTGGGCATGCTGGTTGATTCTACCATAGGGGAAAAGCACGAATGTTATTTTACTGAAGTCTGCCATTTCAGCAGCACAACTATGATTATATCTCAGTTACTTCTGCACATTTTTTAGACAGATCAAAGTATCAAAAGGACTAATGCTTGTTCTGCTGCAAACCAAGCACTGAATAAATGGCACAGCATTGCTATCATTGTTCCCTACAACATGTGCTTTTTAGAAACGTCAATGTTCTTGCACAGTAATAGTTGGTACAAAACCACACAGCAATTACTCAAGTGCACAACCATTTAACACATTCCATTTATGCTTCCATTAGCACTGTTTATGGTTATCTGCTCCATGTCTTTAATATTTTTTTTTAACTGCAGACAGGATGCCTGCAGAAACAAGATAGTACACCTCAGCAGGCAGTCTACGTTTAAGTGAAGGCTTCTATGCAACTATAATAATGAAAATCTATGAAGTGTACTCAATTCTCTCATTATTCAGTTTGCTTTTACTGCAGAACAATGTGCCTTCTTATTCAAACCATAAACATATTCAAAATCTTGTTATGAAAGGTGGCTAAAAGTGAATCAGCACCTGACATCTTCATCAACCAAACAATAATGAGGGAAAGTCTCAGTTTATACTGTTTCCAGTCCCTGAATACCTATTTACCTCCATATGCAAAATGCACACACACGCACAAGGGTAGTACCACATATTACTGAAGCGCTGCAAATTTCTCATTTGCTTTATTTGAGTGTGATGAAGTTTTAAAACACCTTCACTGAAAATTCAGACCTCATAAAGGTCTTTTTGAAGTGTAGAAAAGTGAAAGCTCATTTGCCCCTAAAATTCATTACACAAACTAGAACTACATGTTGATTTTCTTTCTTGTTATTTGAATCTCTCATCACACATTTCAAACTCATCAGAAATTCACCGTTAAAAGGTACATTCCTTCATAAAAACTAAATTGCAAAGTGATAAGAAGATCTCATGTACAATTCAACTAGGACGCTTCTACATTTTAGTCTAGGGCAAAGCTTTTAATGTCCATTGAGCTACCTCAGTAATTGGCTCATCTTTCGTGCCTCGAAGGAGGTTCATTTCATCTGGTGTCAGCTGGAATTTTGCTATGAATGCATCTGCAACTTGGGCTTTCATTTCTAGTCTCTGACTGTAATAAAACAAAGTGAAGAGGACATTACCTTTTTATGCATACCTCATATTTATTTTGCATATTCAGACTTTTGGAAATATAATGAGCATTAGAAATCTGTGTTATTACATTCTAATAGTTCATTCTTGCCATCAAACACTTGAGTTGTGTTTTCACACACAATTTTCCATTAAGCTTACATAGATTACTGAGTAAAGACAATCTAAAGGTAAGTTAGTACATTTGAAAACTAGTAAGTTCTTTAAAAAAAAAATTCCTTTAGCATTTATATCACAAGTTATCTACTCCAGATACTTTGTGCTTGTACAGTTGTAATGCTTCCAGTTCTTTCCTTTCAAATTCATCAAGGAAAGAAGGGGGATTTACCTCATGTTTTCAGAGAGGCACAAAAAGCTGCAGCATCCAAAATGAGAAAATAATAATTAGATTAATCTATCTTACGGTAGAACAGATCCATGTCTTTTTAACAATGTAAATTTGTATCCCAACTGTACATTTTGATTGCTTGTGAGATTAGTAATAGCTAATTCTCTTGTTGATTACCCTCCCCAAAATAAACACAGCAGGGATGCAATATGCAAACGCCATCTCGTGGGCAGCATCTTTTTGCACATGTTTTGTCACATACAAGCACAGAAGGACCCAAATGAATATAGTTTTATTCCACAGGAAGGGACTGGAATTCCTGTAGCAACAGAAAATTTCCTCAAACTGTGGTTTGAATTCACAGCATTCCAGGAAATAAAGACTGCTTTTTCAGGACGTTGAGGATTCACTAATTCGATGTTTGTAGAAGAATAATGCTCAATTATTTTAAGACCACTTCAGCTTCCAATGTAATTATTGCAAGATAAATACATTATTATTATAGGGTGTAAGACAGGCAAGTACACTTCTAATACTGACTGCAATAATTAAATTTCCTTGCAAGATCGCAGCTTGAAAAGTAAGTTTTTGTTTATTTACCCCTTCTCTACTATCCAACTAGTGTCTGCACTTCATTCAGCTAAAGAAGCAAAGAAAACTGGCTTCCCTCCTGCAGATGTGGATGACCCATCCTGCAGTTCCACAAACTTTCAGAGATCAGATTAGATGTTTTGCAATTGTCAGTGCTCTACCATACTGAACAGTGAGGTGAGGAGTATCAAATCCAACAGTGTTTTAACACTAAAATTTATGAAAATCAAAGGGGAAAGCAACCCAGTACTTGGAAGTTACACAGAAGACACCTAAACAAAAACAAAACCCAAAACCTCATACGCTTTAATACCACATCTTTAATTGGTAAGTCAGGTTTCCCCAGGGTCCTATGCAGATGTAGCTATTTTGCCTTTACATTGACAGCTTTGCAGTGCTTAAAATCAATCTGTCTACTTAATTTTCTCTAAGCAAACTTCAGAATTGCAAATTCATGGTCTCCATGAAGCTGACTGTTTCTAAGGGAAGGAACAAGAGTGATGGAGGAGGATTTTCACCAACTAAACAGGCAATGACAGTAGATGCATCCATGAAAAATGATAGCGCCTTCTAAGCAATTTGGTGGTAGCTCACGGCAAGTAAGAACAGGGAAGTCTAAAAAGGGAGGGCTTGATTACATGTACACAACTTGGAAACAAGAAAACGCAGGTACAGGAAGAAAGGAATGATATTTGGAAGAGAGGAAAGAGATTGAGAAGCATCATGATGGTTTTGCAAAGAAGGTGGAGTCAGTTTTCTAGCACAAGGCTGGAGACATGGGACGAGAGAGAATTAGGAGAGAATGGAAAGTACCAAAAGAGTTTGGGGGCAGAGAGGGAAGACGTGTGAGGTGATGGATGTGAAGGGACTGAAGTTGCCCCATCTTCTCTTTGAATAACTTTATCTAAATCTCTCGTACCGGGGTGTGGACATGCAACACTACCTTCAAATATAAACAGTCCTGGCACTGTTTTCCAGCCCCACTGATACGCTTGTCTGACATAGAAAGTGCAGCAGACCTCAACACAGTGGAAGGAGAATGGAAGAACACCATTTTGAACACAGTCTGTAAATTTTCAGCAGGCAGATTAGGTGACAAAATCTGAAGAGAGGAAGCCATGGTGTAACTTCAACTGGAGACAGAGGAAAAAATACCAAGAGAAGCTGTCTAAAAACATGCTCACAAGAATTAACTGACAGGAGAATACTAACAAAAGAGTATTTTTAATTAAATATGAGGCTTGTGAGAGATTTGTCTGATGATAACTACATCAATCTCACAACACATGTGAAAGATGGATCAGGTCTGCTCTGTAGTATATATTGCATCATTGCAACGATTCCTGAGCCATGCTGCTTAGGCTGCCTCAGCCACCCCTGCTCATCCCTGCCCTGTACTGCCCTTCCCACTGTGCCAGAACCGTTGTTTATACTCTTATGTAGTTAACCAGATCAGTGAACAAATCTGGCAGGAAAAAAAAAAACCAAAAGTTTTTATTTTATTTATTTTCTGGGGGTGGAAGCTATATGTATTCTCTATCCCAGTTTACCACAGGCCTGTACTAAGGGAGTGTGGGGTACCAAGTTCTGCATAGGCAGACGCCCTGGACTAGGAGGTGTGCCAGCACAGATTGCTGCCAGAGGCAAGGGGGCAATTCCCTGCTGCTATGAAACTCCTTGTGAAAACTACACTTCAGAACTCTTCTGAGGTATAAAAAGAGGTAATTTCAATAGTCAGGTACAACAAATAGTAATAATGATACTAAAAAATATCAGGACCTTCCCCTCTTAGCCCCCCAAAAACCTAGAGGCATATAATACAGCTACTCAAGTTGAAAATCAGGGAAGAACACTTAAAATTTCACCCAATGATCGTGCTTTCAACAGCACATTCCTATTTCACGCCATTATGCTAAGGAACTCTAATCCATCAATGTCACAACTATTTGATTTGGTTGAAACAATAGACAATGTGATTGAGTGAATTAACTTTATTTAATAGTTGCTCCAAGTCTCTCCTCTTGTAACAGAAGTCTCAATTTAATATATAACCACAAAGCTGAAAATATTTACACTGGATTATCCTCCCTTTAGGGAAAAGGCGGCACATAGGAAGAGAGCAGAGAAAGCAAATGCAAGACCTTCTTTTGTTTCAACTGAAACAAGATCTCCCACAAACACAGATGGGATGTTGAGAAACTTTTCTGTTCTTTGAACCTGCGTATCTCCTGAATTCATGAATACGTCCACTTACATAAGATCTCCACTTACTATTATCTCCTGTTCTTCGGATGTTTTCTAACATATAGTTTCACCAAACTGGGGGCAGGGGGAAGTATGATTTTAAGAAGCACAATATATCGACCAGAAGAGCTTTTTCAGTTTGCTTTGCAGATCTGTTGGAATTAGGGTTGTAAACTGTCAAGGAACAAGAACTGCACAAACAGCATGTTTGTTCACACTAGAATTCTGTGCCCCCTTCAATCTTGAAGTTATAAAATGTTCATTTTTGAATGGCAGAAGATCTCACTATCTCCCTCCACTGCAAGTCCTCACTCTGCACAGTCCTCCCTCCATTGCCTTTTTGCTGCTACAGAGAACAAGGTTCAATCAAAAAACATGCTTTAAAGCATTCCCATCCCCGGCTGCATCTTTGCTGAACACCTGCCATAACTGCTCATGGATCCACTCCGCACACTCCCAGTAATTAACAATAAATAACTACCAACAATTAATAAAACAGAGTCAATATATTAAACTCCAGCATACTGGCAAGTTTAGTTCCACAATGTAAACACAAGGTTAACAACCTCAAGGTGGCAGCAATGTTTCATCTATCTTTCTCAAGACAACGTTTCAGAAGTTGTGAGAAACATCTATCCTAAGCACGTGTCTGAATTTTCAAAAAGCTGTTTTCTTTTGGGCTCTTTAAAAAGGACAAGGGATTTCAACAAGCTACTCAGTTTCAAAACCCAGGTTAGCCACCTCTGCTTCTTCCTGCTATGAAAGTTGCCTTGGTTATTCAATCTGCATGAGAAAAAGATCCTATATCCTAGATGATGGATCAGGAATAAAACATGTAAGTGCTACGTACCCTTGACTTCCACCCGGCAGTGTACAGTATTAATGAGATCAATACACTTGCATAGGTATTTCATTTTTTATATTTCCTCAGACATAAACTAACAGATATTTAACTAGAACATACTCCATCTTATTAAAGCAAAGAAGTGGATTAAAGTATCATTCAAGCTTGCTAGAGGTACTTTGCTGTGATAAGTGCTATGCAAAACACAATGCAGCTAACAACAAAAGCCAGAGTATAACCCACAGCAGTTGGTACCTGTACAGACACTTGGACACGTTTCAAGACTCACTGGGCTTTCTATACACGTAATAATTTCTAAATTGTGTTCTAAGCAAGTGCAGTACAGCAGAGGAAAGGCCACACTGTGCTGTTATCCCAAAGTGCTTTTTTTTATTTCTTTTAACAAAGTTATCCCTGCATAAAGGAACAAAACTAACAGATCATGGGAACACTGCACAGATGCAAAAGGGGAAGTGCCAAGTGCTGGTAGACTTTGGAGCTTGGGTGGGGGACGGGACTCCAACAAAGAGCAATTTCCCCAGTTTTAATCGTTACCAGGGAGACAGAATTCTTTTGCAAGAGAACTCAAAAGGCTGGGAAAACTATGCACTTCATGCACTTTTCCCTTGAACCAAATACAAATGTGTACTGTTTGTTAGGATTATCACCTAGACAGCTCATAAAATGAGGTGGAGGAGAACCAGGCTTTTCCAAAGTTTAATTTTATCTTGCTGCCAAATGCAGCATAAAAAACCTGCCCTGCTAGCTTCCTTTACCTAGGACAAGTCATAGCAGCACATTCTGAAATTACTTTCAGTTTGTGGTACTGAGGATTCAACACATTTTTAAAGGCTCAGAAAGATGAAGCATTTTTAACTCAAAGAAATAACAACCATCTTTAACAGACACGTGTAAAAGCTTTTCAGTAGCAGCAAAAAAAAATAATTTTTCCATTATGGTTTTTATGGAAGGCAAATACACAAGACAATAACAAAACATCAACACACACGTTGTTAGGAAACCATTCTTAAGAATAAGTACCAGGTGCAAAAATGCATTTGTAAATGCTAAGAACAAATGTTTTTATTCTACATTTTGTCTGTCAAAAAACATTTTACTAAAGGAGAATTGAGATACTGAGATTGTATTCGGTGACCAATTCCATCACAGAATATAATAATGAAATTTTCTCCTTAATTAAAAAATAGGAAGGCACAGAAAACCATAGTTGTGTAATGTGCCCAGGATACAGGAAAATAACAGTAATATCACAGAAGGCTTTAGTGAGACCTCATCCAGAAAACAGATCACAATCCTTATCATCTGTGTTCAAGAACAACAGATTCCCATTAGACCAGAGCTAGCAGGATGATCATGGGAATGGAGAACCTAATTTATGAGAGGAGATGAAGGAAGCTCTTAAGATAAGAGACAAGATGAGAAAACAACCAATTTATATCCAAGAATTAGTCCGGAAATTAGGGAAAGGCTTTTACTGGAAAGAACAAGCTTTTGAGGCAAGTGTTCCAAGAACAGCAACATATACAAAATGCAAAAATAATTCACTAGTTGTATGTTGAACAGTTGGTAAGTTTATGAAAGTCATCACACAAATGATGACTGGCAGCAGGAGACTGGACTTGAACTTAGAAGTTTCTCCCATCTGTAATCCCTGACTAAAGACAGCTAGCCTGTAATGCTGCAGCCCTGCCATATAATACATTCTGCTCTAAAAATAAATAGGGAAAAATCAAAAAGGCTAAATCAAAAGTTAAGCAACAGAGGATACTAACTCCACTGAAATTATTAAAATCTTGCCAAACAGATTATCACACAGTAGAATTAAAAAACTTACATGCTGTAAATAAATCTGTAGAATACAATATTTTTCCACTTACATACCGATCAGGCTTCTTATAAACATCACTGGTACGTAGCTACAGAATAGTCTTGATAAGCTATTTCCACATGCAAAACTTCACAGCAATCATGTAATATATATACTTACTAGGTAAATCAGTATTTAGCAATGGTTAAGATACAACATATGGTTCCTAACTTGTGAACAGAGATTAAGTTGAAAAGGACTGTATTTCCAGTGAATAGATTCTTTTCCATTTGTAGAGGTGAGCTAGCTGATACTGTCATACCAAACAGACTGATATCAGCGTATCTCTTATACAATCTGATACAAAGATTTGAAAGGGGTCTGCTTCGTACAGCTTCAAATTTGCTATCAAATTCAAAAATGTTGCCAAAGGCATGAAAATAACTGTCCTCTATATCCATCCACCTGGAATAAGATCAGAATAAATGAGCTTAACCGGCAGCAAAAGGAGAACTAAATCAGATAGTAGGAAAAGAACCGATTTCCAGGGAAAGACCATGGGCTCTCTGTTCCTGGCCTTTTCTTCTACTAGCAGATTAGACAAACATCAGTCAGGAACGGTATCATGTAACTGATTCTGAACTTGTGATGAAGGTTTCTCAACATGTAGGACCATGTCTCATTTCATACTGATCAAGAGTACGTCACACCTCAGCAGAGTACATAGTTGCCAGGTAGAAAAGCTGACAGGAAATAAGGCTTTGCACTTTCTCTGGTTTTTGTTTTTTTTTTTTTTTTTTTTTTTTTTTTTGCTTCAGATCCATTTCAGCTGTTTTGATTCTTGTCTTATGCCCCATTACCTGTGCTTTACTTTGGTACAAATCAAGAAAGAAAAATCAGCCTCAGAATTTCAAGCCTTCACCCTCCCCCACATGAAATTATCATTCAGTTTAGGCAATCACTGCTTTTTCTCATGAAGCATATTCACAGGAATAAATGTAATTACAGGTTTCAAAAGGTCAAGACATGAAATACATCTCATCAGTGCAAACCACCAAATCACCACTTTTCTCAGCGTATGCGGATGAAAGCAAGCCTCTCCAACCTGCTGCAAATACTGCTGAACTGCCTGCACCATTTACAAATTTACTATGACAAAAAAGGTAATTCTTAAAAAAGGAAGCAACACCAAGAGACAAGCATGAGAAATCTGTAGAGCAGCACTACTGAAGCAGATGTTGACCAAGAAATATTCCTCCTAAGACTTTTGATCTTACTGAGCACAGAAGTGACAGTCAAATCATTCACTGAACTCAAAGAACTGTGTTGAATTTAAATAAAAAGCAAGTCAATATAATTCAATTAAAATAGATTGAAGTACACACTGCTGCATTCTAAAATATGTTTGGGAATCACATTTAACTGTATTTTTTAAAAGTGAAATAATCCTAGTGCTACAGAAACTGATTTTCCAGAATCACCACAACTAATAAGGACTCTGACATCAAAAAAACCCCATCTTGCTCTGTTTAAGAACACTATTAATAGACGCTAGCAAAACAAGATACTGTGTAAAGGTGTTAAAGTGCATAATCTCAATGAAAGCTCTCAAACTTTACCCTGACTCAGAAAATATCTGTCCAAGACATCTACATTCCCACTCCTTCATACAGTTTTCAGAGTATGATGGTCTTTACTTGCAGAAAACTACTTCTGACTCTCACCAGTCTTCTATTTCTGCAGGCTTATTTTCTGTGATCTCCCTGAATGCTCAGGGAGATACACTCATGTTATCACCGTTATTTAATTTTATATTTTTATCACCGTTATTTTTTTTATATGTTATATGTTTTATTTATTTTTTATTAT